GGGAAATTGACTTCAGCCAATGCATTTTCGTCTCCTGGTTTAGATCAGCCTTTATTGTTTCCCTATTGTTGAGCTCCACATAGAAAATGACCAAATATAGACAAACTATCATTACACTAAAGAGAATGAGCTTTCCAGTGATACCAAACACTCGCTGTTTTCAAATGCAGATATATATGATTGAAAAATGCTAATCTTAGACAAAGTTAAGAAAAACTGACAGAGATATGAGAACAAACTGAATTAAAAAAACAGACAGAATTTAAAAAACAAACATTTTTATAGAATCACGTTATAGAAGCAAAATATACCAAAATCTGAAAATCAACCAGTATGCACAAAAATAACATTTTTGCCTGCTGTTAATAATCAGTTAATTTGTCATAAATACACTAAAGACTAAGCAGTGGTTATTTTCACATTTGATTATTCAATTTGTGTTTTTCTTACTTGAATGCCTGTTTAGATATGAAATGAAACACTTAAGGTTCTGTACATTTTATTTGTTCAACAGAAAACAATGTGATTATTAATACAGCAATTATGTTTAATAAAAGAATGGGAGGAAAAGATGCACTGTGTACGTCAAGAAATGTTTTGAAATTGAATCAGTATTCTTTGAACTGTAATCAAATCGAATCATGAGGCAATAGCAGATTCTAGTCTCGAGTATTCATAACAACAAAAGGAAGACATTTGTAGTTAAAGCGTGCATACCCTCTGCTGTATGTCAATGAGCCAGTCTCTCCACTGGCCAAAAACAACATGTACAGTCTCACGGGTGTTTCCAGTCTACCCTTCGGATAAGATCTTAAAGATGAAGCCAGGTGATTTAATGTCCTGATGACAGACAGTCGAGCACTCTAGAAGAGCCTCCTCTGCAGCTCCCAGCTTTCCTCCACTCTTCTTGCTTCTGGAGTCTACCATGAACAAACAATTATCTTTACAGGCTGCTAATTAATGTCACAAGTTCATGTTGTGGTGGTTGATTCCTCTGCAGTAAGTATGTATGACCATCTCCCCTTTCTATTTTCTAAAGCATATTGATCAGATATTGATAAATCTATCAGAAATGATGTCTTAACACTATTTATCGATTTGTAATTGAAGCACCCATATCACTTAGAATTGGTAATCATTACGATGATATTTTAATGAGATTTAGACTGCTTACTATTTCGAGAAGAGATTTCATTTTAATTTCACAAGAAAAATTAGAAACAAGTTAAGGTTCAAATGTGTTTATATGATAAGAAAAACGTTGGATTCAATGTGTAAGAATAAATGCACACTACACAGCCTTAGAAGTACCAGGAAAATATTTCTCCTAACATGCACAGTACTGTACTGATATGCGTGCCATGCTAAAATGGCCAGTAGATGGCAGTATAATGCAGCGGTAAGCCAAGTTCAGAATAAATGCATTCTGATAACAGTACTCTGTGTGTGTGTGTGTGTGATCCTCGTCAATACAAATACATTTCAGTTGTGACACAAAAATGGCCTGATCTGCATAATTTAGATATCCTGTTTTATTTATAAATAACAGCATCACGAGTTCGCCTGCCCATTTAGTCCTGCTAGATCATGGTAAGCGAGCTTGACAATTTGACTGAGCACACATATTATTGATAATGAAGCAGACTGGCCCTAGTCTTCCCTCTGGGACAGGTGTCTTCCACGTGTGATGTGATGATCTGTGGAAGCGCATGCGCGGTTGTGATTCCATGAATCTGTCAGGTCCAATTGTTGAAGTCAGAGATGGAAACTCGAGTCGCACTTAATAGAGACTTGCGACTTGACTTGAACTCGTGATTCGTGAGACTCGTAAGAAATGTTCACATTCTCCTTTACTACCCCACATGACAGCATCATACACCACATTTTACTGTTCATCCTAATCCATTCATTCCTGATCGATATGTCCTGCAGTAGCAAATGTCCCAACAATTCATCTCTAAACACACCACGCCAGCATTATTAGCTATATACACACACGACACTGGCTCGAAACGGTAATATACCCACTATAGAAACGTTTTAAAATCATGATTAATGTAAGATCGCATTGTAAATAAACTACACAGCGTAAAAGCATCTTTACACAGCAAACGCGGCACAGAAACCAAATCTGAAGCGCAGAGATGTAACAATGTAACGAGCCGGTTGAAAATCTATACAAATATGTGATGATTCTAATCGGTTGAGATGTTAAATGAATCGCGATACAGTTGGGCTGGGAGTTAATATGAATGTATCTCTGAGGGAACTGACTGTCCTTTGAAAAGTTTAGATGGTATTTCTTTTCCTCTTGCCTCTATATTATGCATATTAGCGTTCATAAGCGTGGCGCTGATTTGTTTACAGCGGTAACCAAGGAAACGCTGTATCACTGCTGTTACTTAAGCGCCACCTGCTGGCAGAGAGTGAATGTGCGTTCATCAGCCCGTGTACTGTTCGTGTAATGTGCTATAGTTTCACAAATCTGAAGTCAAATCATTCTGTTTTTGCTTCAAATTTTGAAATTATACAATGTAATTTAGATTAAAAACTGCTCAAGTTGCATGTATGCTGCATCTTTGTTTGGATCATGATTAAAATGCAGTGGTTGCCTCTAATTTTAAATAGAAAGAGCACAGACAAAGCCTTAGTTTGTTTATATGAAGAGATTAAATATGAATATAACTGTTGAAACTAACCATAATTTTAAAATGAGTTTTTCCAAAAATAATTGCTTTTAAATAAATTAATAAAAAATTGAATAGTATAAAATGTGAAATTAAGGATGACCATAAATAAGGAGTTAACCGACAATAAGAATTTTGACCGATTAAAAAAACAAAGATCATGTACAAGTCAAATTGTATTGCTACATACAGAAATAATGTAAAATACCGGTAAATAAAATAAAAGGTTTAAAAATGTTCTGTATAAAATTAAATGAATGATTTCAATAAAAGTGTGTGTGCTTTATTAGACCGTTTGAATAAATGAATAAGACATTCAGTAGAAGTAATTAGTTTTAACGTTTCAAAACTGATTTAGCCTCACACACTGTTAATTAAAATAACTAGCTGAAAGATCTATTGCTAAAAATAAAACTTGAGACGTGACTTGGACCTCAGAGACTTGTGAACATGTCTGGTTGAAGTAGACTATAGTACAATATTTCTGTTCTTTTCAAAACAAATGGCACAGACATATGAAGTAGGCTACATTAAATCCTCACACGCTGACTGACATTGAAAACAGGTGAAAGCATTAATTCTGTCATGAATTACTCACCCTCGTGTTGTTCCATAAGACCGCCGTTCATCTTCGGAACACAAGTTAAGATATTTCTGATGAAATCCGAGAGCTCTCTGACCCTCACATAGACAGCAAGGGTACTTACACGATCAAGGCCCAGAAACGTACCAAGATGATCGACAAAGTAGTCCATGGTTCAACTGTAATGTTACGAAGCTACGAGAATACTTTTTTTTTTTGCGCAAAGAAAACGAAAATAATGAGTTATTAGCCTTACTTATTCGAACCAGAATATACAGATGATGAAGTAAGAGAGACGGAAGAGGCAGCAACACAAACAGAAGCCTCTGTCAGACACAGAGCAGTGGAGATCTGGTGGAGTAAATGTCAGAAATGCCAAGCCTACAGAACTGGAGAGACTGGGACATAGCCATGCCACAGCTGGAAAGTTTGGAGCATTCAGTCGATGAGACAACATTTCTTACACTGTTAATAAAATGATACAAATCACTCTACATCTGTTGTGTTCTTTCATTTGGAGTGTGCTATCTGGACTCGACTGATACGGCGGTACTGGTACTTCTGTCAGTGCCTAGAAACAACACCAATCATGAATATTTCACTACATACACAATACATTCTAAAACTTGAACACTCACTGAGGCTTTTTCGAGATCTCTGTAGTTTGACAGGACTTCTGTTTTCGTTTGCTTGTACAAACATTGTTCTCGTCTTGGCTGAAAAACAACCATTTTGTGAAACTCCTCTCTATTCACTTGTAATACAGCATTGAAATAGGCGATATTGTAGTGTATTTATCCATGTCAGGCCTAAACAAGATGCCAGCACAAAAACACTTTTTTGTTTAATTAGCGTTATCGAAAAAATCATCACACAGCCCTAAACTGAACTGACACGAGCTGAATAATGATGCTTTTGTCTGTCTGTTTCCATCATTAATTCTGTTGGTTGATTGATTCTACTACAGAACCAAAGGTGACTTGACTGAGCGTTTGTGGCATGATTTTATGATCTCTGAACATCCTCAGCGCTTGTAGAGAGCTTTATACATTACACTTTCCATTAACTGACTGAAATCAGGAGTTGATTGGAGAACATGCATGAGATATTTACTTCCAGAATCCCACTGGTGAAGGTTAAGCGCATGACGATCACAGATGTCAGCTGAGCAGATGAATGCGACACAGCCTGTTGATTCGTGTTGAGATGAAAAAGGTTGTTTGTCCCGTTGGAGCCGCTGAACTTTTCATCATCTCAAGGTATCTTATATCTTCATTAAGGCTTGTCCAATTACAGCCGTGGTCTGTGTTGTGCATGTGTCCACTGGGACAGTAAAGGTCAGTTTGTTTTCTTCTGTGGGCTGGGAAATCACTCTACCTCCCATGAATTCCCTGTTGAAAAAAACAGCATATGCTGGTTAGGTAGGTTTTGTAGCTGGGATGCTGGTTTGAGCTGGTTTAAGCTGGTCTTTAGCTCGTCGGACCAGCGTAAACCAGCTAAGTAGTAGCTAAGTAGTTTGACCAATAACACACAGGCATTGTACATAATTCTGCTTCTGCTTGGTGTCTTTTGTAATGTTGTTTAGCTCAAGCACACACTAGTGGGCAGAGTTAGTGAAAATAGCCTCTGCCATCAAGGTGTAATTTGTGTAATATGGAGTAATTGATTTGTGTCGTCGTGTGGGAGAGAATCTGGTCTGGCGGGTTTTAGTCTCGCTCACAGGGACTTGCTGAGTTTCCAGATCTCTCCGGGTGTGTTTGTAAGCTGTTGTCATGTGATACGCTGTATCAGGATTATTCCATTATCTCGTCTGTACGGTCATCTTCATCAACACAAAAGCAGGTGTGTGCAAGACGCTTGTCCCTTCAGAAACCACTACCTTTGTGAGTGTCGAGAAAGAGAAGAGGCGGGTTCAACAAGGTTAAAGTGGCGAGTGGCATGAGAACTGAACATGGACTCTGTCTGAAGCGCTTGAAGGGAATTTATCGGACTCAATCCTGCTGATTTTACAGGTCCGTTAAGCTTCGTTTCTGCATTTCTCCTGCTCTGGCTTGCTTCCTAATCTAGCGTTCTAATAAACCATAACAATCAGGCTTTATTATAATTATACAACATACATTTAGTAATTCATTAATTAATTAGGTGTGTGTTTGTTGTTAGGGTTGTTTTTGTGAGATTCACCTGTGCAAATATTCACGCTCTGTGCTCTGCTCCACTTGTCGAGACTCTAAAGCTTCATACCATCAGTGTTTTGTCACTGCTTTTTTTTCAGCTTTAAGTCGCTGGACGTGTTCTCACATGTTAAAAGTCACTCTCAGGTCACTTAACTAACAACATGAGCAGTCAGACATTCAGTCAGAGATGTGGCTCCGGTGATCTTCAGCATCTAGATGCGTTCGGCTTGTGTGTTTCCCTCACGCTCACAGGACATTTGATCCTGAATGAAGCAGCAGATTCCCAGCAGTTTGTTTGACTAGTCAGTGGTACGAACTTGTCTCTGATAAAGAATCTTTGCAAAATCTGACCGTCTGAGAACTGTGAGGCATGCTTGGTTTTGTTGAGAGCCCAGACATGCTGTTATAGGTTAGGTTAGTTATAGTTAGTTCACTCTGATCTGCAGTGATCTGGTGTGTCTACTAGTAGAGGAGTCTGATGATGAGCAGAGACTGTGTATTTAATGGCTGTAACCACAATTTCTGAGCTTTTTCAAATCCAGGTAAGCATGGATCAGTGGTGCTCGTCTCCTCACACTCCACTTGTTTATAGAGATTTGAGTGGGTTACACAAGCTATATTCACTTACATTTACATATATGTATTTAGCAGACGCTTGAAAAGCAACATGCAAAAGCAGTTTGTCAAAGAGCCAACACTATTCCAAATATACAATGCTGACTGTGCTTGTGCATTGTTTTACTTACCTGCTTTTGACATATTCGACCCAACTCCAGACTTTCCAGGGATTTCTGTGAGAAAGGGATTGTGAAAAAAAAAAGGCAACCACCCCTTTAAAATAAATGTTGTTTGTAATGAACGGCACTATAATAAATGTTGTATTTTTTTATGCATTTATTTTTGTTGTGTTATGAATGCCACTAAGGAGCACAGTTATTGGGCTGAGTTCACTGAACAGGTTCGAGTTCTTCAGCACAGAGGAAACTGTCGTGGAGATCCTGAATAGCATTAGCAGTCACCGGACGTCATACATCAACACGTATCACGCCAGAGCCGCATTCAGAACAGTCACGCCTTTATGCATTAAAGACGCTTTTGTAACACATGCATGCCATCACTCTGCTTTTGTGTGACACAATTAGATCAAAGGTTGGTCTTTCGAGGAAACGGTGTGAACTGTGCGATTACAGTCACTGACCCAATGAGCTTCTTTGAGTCGTTTTAACCATGTGAATCATATCCTGGGTTTCTCCAGTCAACATGATCTGATGTGATTGAGAGAGTCTTTAATGTTACAGGCGAAACATGATTCATCATGTTTGTCCATCATCATCATAATGTAATAACTCGCTTCACCTCTAATGTCAACTGTGTGTTATTTGCGGAGTTAACTAATAGTCAAATATCGGTTTATGTCAACTGTGTTATTTGCGGAGTTAACTAATTGTCAATATCGGTTTATGTCAACTGTGTGTAATTTGCGGAGTTAACTAATTGTCAAATATCGGTTTAGTGATTTCAGGCTGTTGTAGGTGATGCAGGTTTTCTGAAATCAAACCAGTCGTTAAAGTAAGGAATAATAGATTCTATTTAATGGTGGTAATAAAAGTGGTGATGCAGCTCGGGTGTTGACAGACTGAAAGCTATGAATTCGAGTCTGTGTGGCATCATGAAGGTTCCAGTATTTCCAGTTCCCATCAGCCTTTGTCAACAGATCACAGGGCTTTTAAACATGTGTGCCTCTGAAGTTCTGCATGTCTAAGAAGAGTTGAGGTTTGAAGCTTCGTCGTGATGTGCGTTTTATTGTTACACGTGTGTGTGCACTGTTTATTTACTGTCGGCTCATGCAGTGAAGCTGTTGTGTGTGTTTGTGTTGCAGACGCGTGATGCTGTGCTTTCTGCTGACGCTCCACTGGATGACGGTCACTGTAGCGCTGCAGTCATCCAAGGAAGGTGAGTGAAGAACTCTTGTGACATTATGGATCGCAAAACAAACCAAAAGAAAGGGGTGTGTGGAGGAGGAGGGATTGGTGATTGGGGTGTGGCTTGCAGAACTCCTCACACTGGATGAGAAGCATTATAATTGGACCAAATTCTTGTTGATGTACTACATCAAAAAGTCTGTAAGTTTGTACATTTTACGCACTAGTCCACAATTTAATATTAGAAACAGTACTAATAGTATTGATTAGATGCCATTTATTTTTTTAAGTTATGACTTTGAATAATTGATTTTTAGAATAGAGATCTGACGATTCTGAAAACAAAACATTAGACAAGCAAACAAAATAATCTGTAGTCTAATTTACTTGAGGTTCTGACAAAATGTCTAAATTGTAACAAATTAGTCTATTTAAAAATATTAATTTAAATGAATTCATTATGGAAAAAATCACTTGAAATAAGTGAATGAAGACTTGTTTCGTCCAGAGTTTTTAAACGAAGACATCAAATACATTTTTACCAGTCACTGGTCGCCACCTACTGGCATAATGTAACATCTACATCTCTTTATTTGAAATGTAACATTTGTTCTAAAGGTCAGTTACTCATTTTTGCAACATCGGAGTCTATATCCGGACTTTTATCCCAGTACTTTCGTTATTATCTAATGTTTACAACACAGAAATGTAGCCTACTGTTTGTGAAGCTGTTAAATATACCGATGTGATTTCAAAGGTTTAAATATCGGAATTATAGTCATTTAGGAATAAGATTGCGTGTGTTTGAATCGAGATCATGATCTTTTAATGCTTAATCGTGAATACATATGCGCCTATATCCTATGTATTTTTGTACTGTATGTCATGATTGTACCAGACCTCAAAAGTAGCATGGGCTTCTGCGATCCACATCCTCTAAGAGCGAGAGGAACATCAAGACCTTATGTCTGTATGTCTTTTATTATTAGTCAAGTTAAATATAAAAACGAGTTAGAAAAGTGCAGCTTATGTAAGGACACAAGGGAAAAATCTGGTCACCCTTTCTTTTAAGGTCCAATTCCCGCTATTAACAAACCATTAACTACGACCTTTTCCTCAATAAACTCCTAATTTGCTGCTTATTATAAACTCCAAATTTCTGCGTGTGATTTACTAACAATGCGCAAATTAAAGAACACAGACGCAGCATCTCATTTACATACCGACCAACGCAATATACCAAGCGCAGCGCAAATTAGCGTAGTCGCAAATAAAGAATAAAGAATAAAGAAGCCACAGTACGTTGAAAAGAACCGGAGGCCAAAAAAAATGAAGGTTTGCTAGAAGTTTTGCTAGAGCTGGTATTGCGTTAGTAAATCCTGACAGTACGATTTTAACGCCAAAAGATGGTTTGCGCTGGCGCACGCTGTTAGTCAAACTGGCCCTTAAGACTTTTAAAATATATAGAGTAACTAGTTATATGTAACTGAATTATGTAATTTAATTACTAAATAAATGTAACTAATCTGTTACAGGCACTGAGAAAAAATGGGTAATTACAGTTACTTATGAAATGTTAACGATTACAAAGAGGGTTTACATCTGAATATGTTCACACACACATACAGATATGATTGATTCCTTTCATAAATTGTATTGACTGCTCTAAAATGTTTCAGGAGTTTAGGACACAGAATAGCACACGTGTTTAATTACTTGATAACTGTTTTATTCCATATTTGGGTTTATGTATATGCTTTATTTTTAAAGATTAACCGTTTTTGCAAGGCATTGTTAGATGCCAGTGTGTCCTTTCAAATTAAGAAATTTGATTTCAAAAACAATATCATAGCAATTAAACTATATATTTTTATTTGAAATCTGTATTTAACCTCAGAACGATCTCAAAGTAAAAAGAGGTGCTAAAGTCTGATTTTGTGGTGGCTGTGCTTTGAAATGAATTATCAAGAGATTAAGTATTTTGACCGTAATCAGTGTTGAGTACTACTGTAAAGTTAACCCTGCCTGCTTTAAATGTTTCAAAATAATTTGAAATGATTTAGACATTTAAAATTTAGAAAAGGAATTAAAAAGCAATCAAATTTGATCATTTACATTACTTTAAGCAATTGAAATAGTTACACTACTATATTTTAAATAGGGCAACTTGTAATCTGTAACCTGTTACATCTCCAAAGTAACCTTCCCAACACTGTTCAAAACTATCTGTTTGTGGCTTTGTGTGAAGGAAATTGCTAGTAGTGCGAAAAATAAGTTATGATCATATTTCATGAGGCTTGATCCGCTCTGGTTTTCAGCTTTCCTCGGGTTTATCTTTCACGCGTGACGTCAACATATGATGACAGGCTGTTGTAAGTAAATAAAGCGGTTAGTAAACACTAAACCATTAGATCAGAGTCCTTAACACACCCGCTAAAGCAGGTTTATAGCACATCGAGTGTGTGTGTGTGTAGATGTAAATAAGTAAATACATGTACAATACTAATAAGTAAATACAGGGTTTCTGCAGGTTTTATGAAGGAAAATTTAAGACATTTTAATTTTAAGACATTTTGAAGACCAAGTAATGGGCATTTGAGGAATAAATTAAATGGAACACAAGTTAAAATGGCTCTAAATGCAAATGTATTAGCCATACTCTCACTATTACTAGCATATTTTCTGTTTATTAGTACTTATAAAGCACATATTAATGCCTCATTCTGCATGTCCATATTCTAGATCCCTTAAACCTACCCCATATCTAAATGAACAGTTACCTTACTAACTATTAATAAGCAGCTTGTCTTTGCATCATGTATTAAATGTTTTTGTATTATGCTTTTGTATTAACTTTTTAAAGTGAAAACTGACAGTGAGTGTATCTGAGATCTCAAATCGCCGGTAAGAGCTTCTCAGATGATCCTGTATGAACTCTTGAAACTCTACTGAGCGGTTTTTAGCTGCTCATTGCTGTGTTTATTACTCGGTCACAACGCTCTCTCTGTGTCTGTGTTTTGTAGGAATGTGTAGCTGCTAGCATGAGCCCACATGTCATTATCTCAAACACACTGAAGACACTAATGGAGTGTTTTGTGTTTAATGTTTGCTGTCAGCAACTAAACTTGTAGCTATAAAAGTGAGTCAGTAAGAGTCGAGGAGTGTGCGTCACGCTGATGAGTGACTAAAGTCAAGTATGTTGTGTAGTGTGCGTCAAGCTCATTCTTCTATACAAGTAGCAAAGGCTTTCCCAATCATAAAACAGCAACCTAATAAAAAAAGCATTATACAGTGTTTGGTTTTGTAAAACAAGAATGAGACCTGCTTCTGTTTATAATTCACTGCTGTATGGTGTATGTTACATACTCCATGTTTAAATTACAGTACAAAATTATTCCTAATTTGTCTCTTTTTGTACAGATGGTAATGTAATCCAAAGACTAATACCTGTGTAGTTGTTCGGCTAAATCTAACTCTTTTGTTAGTATTTCAATCAATATATGATTTAGAATATACAGTATGTCAATATGGTATTACTGTAGAAATGTAGCGAAATTGCTGTCATATTCAGTTTTGATAGGTTTTGAACTTAAAGGGTTAGTTCACCCAAAAATGAAAATTAGCCCATGATTTACTCACCCTCAAGCCATCCTAGGTGTATATGACTTTCTTCTTTCAGATGAATCCAATTGGAGTTATATTAAAAAATGTCCTGGCTCTTCCAAGCTTTATAATGGCAGTGAATGGCTGTTGATATGATAATAGTCCAATAGAACTATTGTCTGAGTGAGAAATGAATTGATGTCATTTCAAAGCTGTAGTCATTCAAGGGATGTATTTTGTGCCAAAGCAATGATTCACAGTTTAGCTCACATAGGTCACTTATTTACAATAGCAGTCTAAGTATTAAGAAATGTGTCCTAGCTGTTATAAAACACTGTAATTGACCACAATAAGATGTTCCTCTTCATAACGTGTTATTATGTTCACGCTTGATGTTGCGGTAAGAAATGACCACATCAACCCAAAGAGCTGGATATATCATAGACAACATCTACGTCAACACTTGAGTTGTTTCGGCAGCATTCTGGGGTGCGTTTCCCAAAAGCATCGTTAGCCAGCTGTGGTCGCAAGTTCCGTCGTTACCAACATAGTTCAACGATTCTGTGTTTCCCGAAACCATAGCTCACATGAACATTCGCAAACCTACGTAGTTGGGACTACAGCTCTCGACCTGTGGTTAGAAGCATAGTTTCTTGTTAGAAAGACACATGGGCTTAAATAAATTATGCTCTTGTGCACAATAAGCGAGCTAACATGCAGTACAATCTATACATTCGGTGTTCATTCTGACTCCACTGTAGTTGCTTCATGTAATTTGCCACTGCTACGCTGCAATAGACTTCTTCTCTGAGATCTTCAGTCTTTGTTTCTTCCATTGCAGATGGCAAAAGGCCGTATATTTACCGCTGCCGCTCGCCCAACATGGAGATCTTCACCTGCTGGTGGCGTCCGATCGCTAATCAGGACAACGTCACCTACACGTTCCTGTACACCACGGGGTGAGACGTGAACCAAACGCACTTCACAGCGTGCCTTTAATGCATCTGTGTAACATTCGATCGCTTTGATTTATCATCATGTTTCACCAGATTAGTGTTTGTTATGTGGAGTGTAGCTGTGAATAGTGAACAGACGTCATGTTGCTCCGCAGTGAGCGCGCTCCTCGGGAGTGTCCCGATTACGTGAGCGGCGGCATCAACAGCTGCTTCTTCGATGCCAAACACACTCAGGTCTGGGAGATGTACTGCATGAACGTGACCGCACACACGCGCACGGGGCTCATCACCTCTCAGAAACACTGCCTGGACGTGGTCGATATAGGTGATGCTTTACTCTAAATATTACAAAAATGTCAAGATATTGTGAAGCTGGCATCAACTCTTCTGACTGAAATTTCTCTTGAGGTTTGCTCATCATCATGTTTGTTAATGAGTCTCGTGTGCTTCTGTCCCCAGTGGAGACCGACCCCCCCTGTAACCTGACGTACATCATGCTGAACGAGAGCATCGGTGAAGTCGGCCGCAGTGTTTTAGTGTCCTGGTTGCATCCGGTTGAGTCTCTAGTGCATGAGGCATTGATCATGATCTACGAGCTGCGCTACAGAAACCTCGCTCACACAGACAGCTGGAGGGTACAGACACAGAGAGTCTGCTTATCACGTCTCCATTTTTATGATAACTGTAGAAGAGACAGGAATGGAGTCAAACATTTTGTGGTCTATTGGTCTGAAGGTAATGGAGCGTTTGCGCGAGCCTCGTGTGGAGTTTTTGGATCTGCCGGTGGGAACGTATGAGTTCAGTGTGCGCTGCCGCTCCACCAGCAACAAACACTGGAGTGCATGGAGCGAGTCCATCATCGTCACCATCAACGGCAGAGCTCTGTCCGGTACTCACACACACACTTACGCATATATCAGACTGATAGCTGCTGCTCTAAGTGTCTGTCTGTCTGCCTCTCAGATCGGATGTTGGCCTTGATCCTTGTGACCAGCATCGCCATCATGATCTTCCTCTTCATCAGTTTGGGGAACATCCCACGAGGCAAGAGGTCAGTGACGTCATGAAGCTCGTAGCTCTGGTCACAGATGGATCTGTAGATCTGCGTCATTAGCTCACATGAGAGCATGGATCTAGAGGCTTCATCAGATGTTTAGTTCAGGCACCGAGAGTCACAAATCTGCAGACGGCTGCAGAAAAGTGATTAATAAACATACTAGATGATTTTTATCTGAAAATGTAAACATGCAAAAAGGGTTCTGTGAGGGGTAGAGAATAAAAATACTGAAAATACTCTACTGGGATGTGTTATGAATAAAGACTTTTAAATGGCAAAAAAACAGTCAGGGTCAGTGTGCTGTTTATTAAAAACAAGACAAGTCTACAGAACTCGTTTAGCTAATGTCTGTGTGTTTTGTATCACTGTCTCATGGATGTTTTTCACTGCTTGTGTTCTTCCAGCAGGATTAAATCGCTCCTCCTGCCAGCGATTCCCAAACCGCGCATCCCAGGGCTTGAACCCGCTCTGCTGAAGGTCTGAGAGTCCCGTCACACCTCACACTGTTTGAGTTATTAGTAGTGTTCAGATCAGAAAATAGCTTAGCGACTGCATAGCACCGTCACGACAACTAGCACAACAATGTTGAATGATGTATTCGGAACCGCGTGAGGAACTTAATTTGAAGCTTCAGCTTCTGTTCTTTCTTGTCCCAACAGAAGGGGAAGATTGACGAGATCAATCAGCATTTCTCCAGTTTTCACGGCTATAAGTCGCCGCAGTACTGCACGGATACGTGGTACCAGGTGAGCGTGGACACGAGTCCGGCTGTGACGCCTGACGGTATACAGGAGGATGCACCGATCGGGCCAATCACGCAGTACGTCACCTGCCCCGACGGACAACAGTCTGTTCAGATCAGCTGCACTCCTGCGCCTTACTGTCATGGCCCCGCCCCCTACGGTGAGGGAGACACGCCCCCTCCAGACCCTGGCCCCGCCCACCCGGAGCTCGCCTCTGTCCCAGGCATGGACTACAGCATGATTCTAAGCCCCGCCCCCGCGGCACCGCCCACTCAGGACTTCTACACGTGTGTGAACAGCGTGACGCCCACCAGCGCGCTGCATCTGGTGCCCTACCTGCAGCTCAACGAGGGAGCGGATGACGAAGCAGACAAGAGCAGCCAGCTGGCAGCGCTGCTGGAGAAGCAGATGGAGGCGCTGTTGAGCACGATCGAGTCGGACCCGAGCGAAGCTGGCATGCCTTCACTACTACATTCTTCAGACAGGAGCTGCAGAAGCATCTAATAACACACACACACACACACACAGAATAACACAGTCCATGAGTCACGCAGTCTGTGCTGGTTTGTCTTGATGGGAAACGTGCCTGGAGTTTCAGTTCAAGCTGAGCGCATTCGCATGCAGAACGCCTGATTCACAGCGCAAGTGTCAGCAGCGCATCATTTTTCACTGCGCATGTTAAGAAACGTGGTTGTTCACATTGAAGCGTGAGCATTGCATTAGCAGCAGTGTAGCGGGTGTTTTAACGCCAAGTCTAGTTTCGCAGAGCTGCTACTGCTCAATTTAAGTGACAACGCACTAATATGGACTAAATGAACATATTTTAATCGAATTCATTGAATTTAGTTTGCAAAGATGTGTAGATTTGATATGAATTATAGAAAGTCATGTAAATGATTTAGCTACCAGTCAGGTGAATTTTTCCTCCTCATGTAAATAAGATTTTTCAAAGACAATTAATGACCATTTTAGGTCATACTTAAATTATACAGTCACCGTAGTTACCTATAAATCCCTGCATAGATGAAAAGACGCTTTCAGTGTGAATTCAAGCGTGAGCGAAATACAGTAAATTCAAACGTGAAGTCAAATGTTGTTGTTATTTTTATTTTTTTTATATCTAAAAATGCCTATGGAAAGTCCCTTTTAATTTGTTTGAACTCACATACAGCTCAAACATTTAATTTCACAAGCATAGTAATCGTCAGGCCTTCGGCTCCGGTTAGACTGGAATAAGGTCACCTTGTGGGTTATGAAGGCATTTGCAGGCAGAAAAAAGACAAGAAAACTGTTAGGGAGTGGTGGAAATGACTAATGAGCCAATAAGTGCTCCTCTGCTGCCATCTACTGGTTACAGTAGTAATTTTCAGCCTTTTTTGTGAGGTCATAACATTAAAAAATAAAATTCAAAGTGCTCCTATTATTCCATTTCAAATATTTCCTTTCATGCAGTGTGTAATGTAGCCGTATATAAATGTAAAGAATCTGCAAAGTTGTAAAGCCGAAAGTCTGCAATAAATAAAGTCGTCTTCTAAAAGAAAGAAAAACGAGTTGTCAGGAATTCGAATCCCACTTTATGCAAATGAGTAACACATTTGCATAATTCCTGCACTATGTCAGGAATGACTTCTTTCTCTTCTTTCCATCTATTCCATAAGTTTTTTGCCACCAGGAGCTCCTCTGACTGCAACTCTATTTTATAATGTGTGGCAAGAATCTTGAGGGATTCTTCATCAAGAAAGGTGTCTGATGCTGGATGGCAGGCTTGAATGCCCTTCATAACATCTACTCCTACTCCTGAGAAATGGTTGTCAATCTCCTGCATCATTCGGTCAAGACATGAAGTCATGTGAAGAACTGATTTCTGAGGTTGTCCCACATGCTGTCTCCCACCACATAATCATCAAGCCTCTTCTGTTTCCGTCTAAAACATGATGCTTCCCAAAGAGACGGCAAGAAAAGCAGAATGCAGAATTTCTGGATACTGAGTACTCAAGCCACTGAAATTCATCCAGCCAATTCTTATTAAAAGCTCTCCGCTGTGTTCCAAATTGGGTAAAGGGATACTGCTGAAGCTTCACCTGCTTTGGGCCTGTCTGCAGTGTTCCTAGATAATCCCTTTCACTTTCTGCCCCTTTCTTTGTTTTGTTGCTAAAGCCTCTTTTTTTCTTTGCTGATTCATCTGGGACAAGGTAAAATGGCACGCTTAGCTCTGTTATTGTTTTAATAAATAGCCCTCACTTAACAACATGATTTTTGTGAGAATAAGGCGGTCCTTATCGGAGTGAATGAATGACAACGTAAAGTTAGATGTGCAGAGAACAAATCTGCGGTTGTAGTAGAAATTATTTTATTGCGCATGAAAACTTGTACATAAAAGGCATGGGAATAAAAACATTCAGGGCTTCAGCCCCCTTAGCCCACCCCTAAAACTTTTGTAGAATTCTGGGGCCTGTTTCAGAAAACAAGTTGACCAAATAAACCAGGTTCATTTCAGTTACTCAGCTGATTTGGTTCAAAATAAGTCAGACTAACTGAAATAAGCCTGGCTTATTTGGTAAACTTGTTTTATGAAACAGGCCCCAGAATTCTACAAACACACACACACACACACAGAATAACACAGTCCATGAGTCACGCAGTCTGTGCTGGTTTGTCTTGATGGGAAACGTGCCTGGAGTTTCAGTTCAAGCTGAGCGCATTCGCATGCAGAACGCCTGATTCACAGCGCAAGTGTCAGCAGCGCATCATTTTTCACTGCGCATGTTAAGAAACGTGGTTGTTCACATTGAAGCGTGAGCATTGCATTAGCAGCAGTGTAGCGGGTGTTTTAACGCCAAGTCTAGTTTCGCAGAGCTGCTACTGCTCAATTTAAGTGACAACGCACTAATATGGACTAAATGAACATATTTTAATCGAATTCATTGAATTTAGTTTGCAAAGATGTGTAGATTTGATATGAATTATAGAAAGTCATGTAAATGATTTAGCTACCAGTCAGGTGAATTTTTCCTCCTCATGTAAATAAGATTTTTCAAAGACAATTAATGACCATTTTAGGTCATACTTAAATTATACAGTCACCGTAGTTACCTATAAATCCCTGCATAGATGAAAAGACGCTTTCAGTGTGAATTCAAGCGTGAGCGAAATACAGTTCCTGCACTATGTCAGGAATGACTTCTTTCTCTTCTTTCCATCTATTCCATAAGTTTTTTGCCACCAGGAGCTCCTCTGACTGCAACTCTATTTTATAATGTGTGGCAAGAATCTTGAGGGATTCTTCATCAAGAAAGGTGTCTGATGCTGGATGGCAGGCTTGAATGCCAGTAATCTAGGGCAAGCAATGGTTCCGGTGCAGGTAGCAAACAGACAAAACGAGGAGACAGGCTAAGATACAAGGCTCGGGTAAACAAGGTTGAGGCAAAGAACAAGACTAGGAACTAGGCAAAACTCGGAATGGCTCCGTAACGTTGCTATCACTGACATAGTGATATGTGCAAACGATACTCATCCCTGAACTGAGGTTAGAGCCTGGTATTTATAGTGTGTGTGATTGGCTGCAGGTGCGAATGTAATCAGTGAAATGGAGCATGGGAAATGTAGTCGGGGGTGATGTGTAACAGTCTGTGTAACGTGAGAGTCAATATAATAGGAAGGCGTCCTCTGGTGGCGAGCAGACGGAAGACCACGTACAGGATTCGTGACAGTCATGTCTGTGCCTTATAACTCATGCAGGTTAAAACGTTCATGTTCCACCTGCAGATCAATTATAGAAACACATTAGAGAGGTTTATCACCACATAATCATCAAGCCTCTTCTGTTTCCGTCTAAAACATGATGCTTCCCAAAGAGACGGCAAGAAAAGCAGAATGCAGAATTTCTGGATACTGAGTACTCAAGCCACTGAAATTCATCCAGCCAATTCTTATTAAAAGCTCTCCGCTGTGTTCCAAATTGGGTAAAGGGATACTGCTGAAGCTTCACCTGCTTTGGGCCTGTCTGCAGTGTTCCTAGATAATCCCTTTCACTTTCTGCCCCTTTCTTTGTTTTGTTGCTAAAGCCTCTTTTTTTCTTTGCTGATTCATCTGGGACAAGGTAAAATGGCACGCTTAGCTCTGTTATTGTTTTAATAAATAGCCCTCACTTAACAACATGATTTTTGTGAGAATAAGGCGGTCCTTATCGGAGTGAATGAATGACAACGTAAAGTTAGATGTGCAGAGAACAAATCTGCGGTTGTAGTAGAAATTATTTTATTGCGCATGAAAACTTGTACATAAAAGGCATGGGAATAAAAACATTCAGGGCTTCAGCCCCCTTAGCCCACCCCTAAAACTTTTGTAGAATTCTGGGGCCTGTTTCAGAAAACAAGTTGACCAAATAAACCAGGTTCATTTCAGTTACTCAGCTGATTTGGTTCAAAATAAGTCAGACTAACTGAAATAAGCCTGGCTTATTTGGTAAACTTGTTTTATGAAACAGGCCCCAGAATTCTACAAACGTTTCTCATAATATAAGTGACTGCTGTGAAATTGAGACCATTTTACCAATCGCACAGAGACCTTTAGAATAATACGAAACATGAAAAGGTTAAAATCATATATTCTTAAGACATAATAACCACAAAACGTAAGGATAGTAACTTGAGTTCTTCCAAGTCGACTTTTGGTGACCTGCACCGTATGTTCAGTAGGGAAGAGGGGGCTTAAGGATGGGTGAAGGGGCAGTTGAACAAATAGTAGATCTTCTCTTCAGATTAGAACGTTTATTATTTTGTTGCATGGCATCTGTTTTGTGTGAGTTCCTGATGTGTGCTTCCACTTCCGGTCCCATCGCAACACAATCAAAACTAATGGGCGAATCCTCTCTTTCCTTTCTTTCTTTCTTCTCTCGCCGGTGTTACTGCACTGTATCTGGCTGCTTTAATTCTAAACAACGACACACACGCCTCAGTTTTCACGATTTCCTGACACAACATGTATTGAGGAAAGCATGGATGAGACTGATGCGGTGGGATGAAGGTCCTTCTAAAATATTACGCGGGAGCACGTTCGTGAGTAGTATGCATTTCTAGGCCTAGGATGTATAGGCCTACAGCTCATATCAATTCAACTCAAGTGTATTTGCATAGCGCTTTTCATGATACAAATCGTTGCAAAGCAGCTTTACAGAACATTTTAAGTTTCTACATTATATTTAGGAGTAGGTTATTAGTGGTGACTACGGCAAAAATGTACAGTAAAATCATGCAGTTAGTACGGTGGCCGAGAAGTGCAAAACAAATCACAATTCTGAAAACAAAATAACAAATTACAAACGCAAATGCAAGTCTAAAAAACAAAATAACAATTCAGAAAACACAACAACAATTCAGAAAACATTATAACAAGTCAGAAAACACAACGACAAATCAGACAAACCGGAAGAGGTAGGTATAGTTTGAGACAGCGCCATTGGTTTGGGATTACTCACCAATAGTTTATGAGAGACCATATCAAAAGCTGAGCTGAGATCGAGTAGTAGAAGTATAGAAAGATTGCCCGAATCACCAGAAAGGAGTAGGTCGTCACCGTAAGTTAGTTACAAATTACACGTAATCAAACAGATGATGAACACTATTAACTGCAATGATTACATGTTGCGATTAAACTTTGCAATTGCGATTAAACATGATTAAGCAAAATGTGGTAGTTTTATATGTTGTTCCAGGATTAGCATCATCTGAGGTCTTCTGAGGGGTTGGCATCATCTCTTCTCAAGTGTTCGCTCATCTCAGGTCTTCGTAAAGGTTGGATACAGACTGAAGCTTGTGTAATTCCTAGTTGCCTCGGGATGCAGGTCCCGTGGCAGAAACAGAGAAGCTGAAATGTTCCTATTCATACATTCCCCTTCCAAATGTGCATTCAGAATATTAAATAAATTTATTTCCCAACTAACCTACTGCAGTCAAGTTTGTCTTCTCAAGCGCTCATCTCAGGTCTTCGTAAAGGTTGGATACAGACTGAAGCTTGTGTAATTCCTAGTTGCCTCGGGATGCAGGTCCCGT